CCCTCCCATTTCAACATTTTGCTTTTACTTTTTGACCTGCTCCAGAACTCTATTTGTTCGGCCAAGCAGTGAAGTGGCATTGAGAACCCGCACTCTAACCTTTGGACAATGCTTGAAGACGTGCTGTTTTTGGTGAAAATGGGTATTGGTTTAACGCCCCTATCAGCACTGTTAGGTTTTTGAAGAGGTGGGTTCTCTGAGTTTAACGTCCATCTCCGAAAGAACCGAGCCAAGTGGGAAATTCGTGTAAAGTGTCTTTCCCAAGGACACAACATCGGAATGAGCTGAGGCTCGAAGCCCCGAGTCCGCAATCTCACAATTACGAGTCGGGTAGCTTAACCTCTAAGTTATCAACACCACTGTGCTGTTTTGTGGCTCTTTTAAAAGATAACTTAACTTCTTTACTTATTTCACAGATGTTCAAATTCCTTTTTGTAAAAATCAGAAACGTAGAAAAGTAAGCAGCACCACGCATATTGCAAGCAACATCTCACTGCGCACCAAGATTCGACTTTTTAACACCAACGTCAAGTCTGTGCTCCTCTACGGCTGTGAAACTTGGAAGACAACGAAGACAGTACTGAATAAGGTCCAGACTTTCATCAACAGATGTATGAGGAGTATTTTAAGAATTAAGTGGCAGGATAGAATAAGAAATGAAGAGCTGTGGGAAAGGACAGAACAAAAGGATATAGAAGTAGAAATAGGACTAAGAAAGTGGCGATGGATGGGACACACCTTAAGAAAGCTCAGCGGAAACATCACAAGACAGTCACTGCAGTGTAACCCACAGGGAGCACGAGGCAGGGGTAGGCCACGGGATACATGGAGGAGATTTGTGGAAAGGGACATGAGAGAAATGAAGCTCACTTGGAAGGAGCTTGGAAGGATGGCTCAGAACAGAGATAAATGGAAGGAGCTTGTATGTGGCCTATACCCTGCCAGGGGTGAAAGGCATTGATGATGATGATGAACACGCATATCATATTAATTATCATTTTTCTGATTAATGTGTTATGTTTCAAATGTGCCATAACATTACCTTTGGTTTGTTGCTGATCGACCCCACACTTGCAAGTGACCGCTACATTTTCAACGAGTTATGACGCGTTTTACGTTACTCTGGAACAACAGAGTCCTATCCATTCAGAACCGAGTTTTGATAAATTTGACTTCAAAAATTTTTTGATTCACAAAATGTTAGGCTTTTCCGAATGCAGTGCTTTGAATATTATTATTTTGATAATGACTCTATATAATCTTACAATTCTGATAGAGCAGATAGGAAAAAAACATTTCTGGCGTCATGGTCTTGGTAACTTTAAACAGACAAAAATGTCAAATAGAACGTTGTAATTCTAAGGTAGTAAAGTGTTAACTCGTTGAAGACGCACACTCTAGGCTCTTCTTGACAACGTTTGAAGATGACGTGCTGTTTTGGGGCACTTTAAACAGGTAACCTAACTTCCTTACTCATTCACAAATGTTCCAATTCTGTTCTCTTATCAGAAACTTAGAATGGCAAGCAACAACACACATATTATAATGTAATAAAATGTATTTGCATTTTTCTAATTTATGTGTGATGTTTTTAAATGTGCCCAATATTGCCTTTGGTCTGTTGCTCACAGGGCCCAAGCTCGCATGTGTCCACTACATCCTTAACGAGTTATGAAGTTTAGCTGCCTTTTACGCTACCATAGAATTGCAAAGTTATCTCTGCTCAGTACTCAGTTTTGAGAAATTTGACGTCAATATTGGGGAGGGGGGGTAGCTTCACAACATGTCAAGCTTTTTGGAATTAAATTTTTGGAATATCTTGATAACGACTCCGAATAATCTTACGATTTTGATAGAGCAGACAGACTGACTTCTTGGTCTCAGTAACTCAAAACGACCAAAAATGTGAGATAGAATTTTGAAATTCTAAAGTAGCGTTAATCAACAACTACTTCCTCTATCTCCGCAGACAATAACATACGTTCTGTGAAAAGAAAGCCTGTGGTGTTCAGTGCAAAATGGCCATGTCTAAAAAAAGACAAATGTTTCTTGAAACAGGCATAGCTACTAGATGTATTTTTCATTTAAATAAAAAGAAACACATCGACATGACAACGGCCATATAGTGCAGCTTGAAAAGCAAGACAGAAAAAATTTTTAAAGGGAGAGAAAAAAAGATTTCAGAAAAAAACAGTACGCTGGATCTGCAGATGACGTTTTCCAACCGCCTTCCAATCAGATCTTGTCCTTTCTTTCCGATGCCCTTACGTTGGTGTAAAGTCTCGATTTTCATGCTGCACTAGATGGCAATCATCACCATGACGTCTACGTGCTCCTCTTCACTAAAAGATGTCAATACATATTTCTTAAGCTTCTCGGACATACGTGCAAGTTGTCCCCAACTTGAAGAAATACCATGCAATGTGATTTATCTATTTAGACAAGCAACGTTAATAATGATATCATAGTTCTAGGATTCTCAAATGGAGCTGCTTGGTCCCAAAATCAAGCGAAATATATGCATCAGTATTCAGCCCTCTGGCGTGATCTAAATAATCATGGAGGACAGGTAGCAATTCTTTAAAAATCACAGTAGACGAGATAAAAAATATTGGTTTTGAGGTCTTGCAAACCTCACCTTTTCTTTAACAGACCGGAGACCAGGACACTGTGTTCCAGACGTGTAAAGAAACGCAATATTTTTCTTTTCCAATGTTTCCTCGAGTTCCTCGGGGAAAGCTGGCAAGGCAAAACAATTAACACGGGTGTTTCAGAACAGAAAAATCTTTTCGGAAAACAGTGAACATGGATTCTTCAGGACAGGAAAAAGTTAACAGTAGAACAGCACACTTGTCTGCTTCACGGCAAGTAAAATTCAGAACAAGTTAATTCTTTGGCGTAACAAAAACATAGGTGCTTCGAACAAGTAAAATTCTTACGCTTAACAGCGAGCATGCTGCCTAAAAACATGTAAAGTAAAACGGCAAACACGGGTGCAGCAGAAAAATAACAATTTAAGGTAACTGCGAACATGGATGCTTTGTAACAAGTAAGATCGAAAGGTTACAAAAATCTTCGGTGCTTGAGAGCAAGTGCTTCAGAACAACTAAAATCTTTAGTTAAGTCGTTCACATGACTACGTCATTACGGTAAACAGCTAAAACAGATTCCTTATTACGATAAACAGCTAACACGGGTGCTTCATTGCGGTAAACAAAACAAACAACGGCGCATTATTACTTAGGAATAACACATCCTTAATTAAAGCTTTCGGACACTAAACTCTTATAACGCAATAGAAATCATTATGATAAAAAGACACCATCTCTTGCGCAACAAAGTATCAAATAAAGATGTATTTTTTTAACACTGCCGTTTTCAAAGTTGCTGGGGAAGATAACTATTCTGGCTCACCCTCTCGCCATTGGGAGAAGTAAAATCAGAACAAGACCTACTGTGCTTGTACAAGAAATGCTAAAGAAAAGCCAGAAATAACCAAGGTCTCGTATGATCACCGTGACGAACAGCGGAGCGATTAAGTTGAGCAAAACTCCACTGCCGAAGACCAATCCATAGTTACTAACGTAGTGGGCCCGACCAAAGAGACGAAGAGTAACTACAGGGAAAACCACCAAAACCCCACTTTGGATCCCTTGAACTAGCAGTGTCCAGGCAAGGAAGAGCCAACGGTTGACCATGGGGGTGAAATACCAGAACAAGGACGCAAACACGTGCAGAGCTGTTAAACTAGCTAAAGACGTCTTGAGATCACTGAGGTCAACTGCCAGCCCCCATACTATCCGGGAAATAAGTACTGTAATGTTAATGCAACTACCAACTGTGGTCAAAAAGTAGTCGTCATTTATGTAAAGGAGTCCGAATTGTTTGTAATAATTGACCTCCACCTGGAGACCATAATTCATGACCATCGCTGCTAAACACAGTTGATAAAAGCTTCGTGTTTTCAGCACTTCAAGGGGTGTGTAGTCGAGGGCAAGTGGCCTGTGGGTTCCTTGCTCCATTGATAAATTGGCAGACTCCCCTTTGTCGGTTGTTGCACCATACTTGGGACTCGACAAAGAACCAGATCCATTCTCTCCACAGCCAATTTCTTTACTGATGTTTACTTTAAAGACATTCTCAAGAGGTTCCTCGTTCTGAGATTTGTGACATTTTTTGTGTCTCTGTTCATTCCGTAACAGAGCTAAATCTGTGTGGTCTCTGACCAGGACGAAAGCGATAATATGACACACTAGAGATACCGCGGTCAACAGCAGAAACACACCGGGCACTTTTGTCACGACATCCACGCTGGAGAAGTACTTGCCTGTTCCTAAGGTGATGTCAGGCGTTTTATTACTTGGATTGATAAACATCGTTGTCAACACATTCATGACTAGACTTCCTCCTCCTAAAGAACTGGCAGCGACGGAAGTGGCTAATCCCACGGCGTTGGGAAACCACACAGCAGCGTAGAGCGTCGACATAGCGAATATCAAGCCGGTGAAGAATCCTCCGCCCACACCCAGAGTTATGTGTAGTAACCAGAAGGAATGTAGACATGTGAAGTACGTCAAACCAACAGAGATATTGAATCCTATTACACCTATGAAAACAGTGAGCCGATGACCAACTGCTCTTGCAAATACTCCTGAGAAAAATATTCCTGCGTTCAAACACGATAGAAACACACCTGTAAGCCACAATGAGCCTGCAGAATGCTCACTCGACCCTACTTTGGAGATAAAATAGGAATCTACATAGATGGACAGGTTGCCATAGTACCAGGGTATTCCGATCGGAAGGTTCAGTAAGACTAAACCAGCACCTACGCCATACTGCAAGACTTTAGGGAACCGTTTGCACATTCTGAAGTTAGGGTTGAAGAATGAACAAACGGCAACGTCCTATTCTGTTATTCCAAATGCTTGCAAAAACAAGAGCAGTACATAATAAAGGTATATTATGACCCAATGAACATGCTCGATTATCCAATTAAATCGTATTGACTGTTAATGAATAAGATAATGGGGGAAAGTTAACATGTTAACCTTAACCATTAAATATATGAGGTTTTTTTTTCATTCTAGCACAATAATTGCAGTAACTGAAAGGCTCCAAATGGCCGCTCTCATTCATTAAATCCCCAACAGGAACAGTTCACACCTGTCACGGCCTTTCGACGACGACAACCGATTTATTGGCAATAGAACTGGATTAAAACAATTGTTGAGGTAATTGTAATACCGTTCGTTCCCAGCTATGAAATATGCCTTGTAGTAGCTGTAGGCTAACTTACTGTTCATGACAAGTTTTGTTGGAGTTGTTGTTGTTGTTGTTGTTGCTGTTGTTTGTTTGTTTGTTTGTTCTCTCCACACCCGATTTTGTTTTGTTTTGTTTTTTGTTGGGGGGGGGTCATTGCTTTGTTGGGGGGGGGGGGGTCTTTAATTCTATTGTATTATAATTCGTTTTTATTTTTTACAGGAGGAAAAGGAGGGGGGGCTGAATTCTCTCACTTGGAACATTTGGGAAGTTTTTAAGACGCTCCACCTTTGATCTATCTTTACTAAATTGTACTACGTTTACTCTCGCTTGTGTGCACAAGTTATATTTATTACTATCAGGTCCTCTTTTTTAATGTAGGTGTCTTTACGTCCCTATCCAGACAAATTTAGATCATTTAGGGGGCGAGCTTTCAACCCTGCCTGTCTAGGTCAACATGGACCGAGCGGGATACAACTGCACAGCAGAAAGGCCCAGATACTCGATAAAAATATCGTTCTCCATTCGGGAATCGACCTCGGGTATCCTGTGTGCGACAGGGAAGCGTCTAACCGCTACACCACAAAAACGCCAGTTTAGACCTCTTTGGGAAATGGGAAAAGGGGAGGGGTGAAATTAGAAGAGAAAGTGTGTATAGGCCCTGTGTGTGTGTGTGTGTGTGTGTGTGTGTGTGTGTGTGTGTGTGTGTGTGTGCGTGAGGTATTGGGGATGGTAATAATGCTCAGTTTTCATAAGAATAGAATTTAAAACTTCTGTATAAAATAACTTCAAACTGATTTTAAAGCCCCTTCAACACAATTTAAATAAAGGCTGCTTTGACCCTGCCTGCCAGGACCAAACGGACAGTGTAGGATTCAACTGTATCTCACCAGAAAGACGGATATATTATTATAATTATTCTTTATCAAAATTAAAGAGATCTCCCCTCTGAGGAATCGAACTCATGTATATATCACAGGCAGAAGAGAGGGAACTAAACTTACCGTAATAACACAGACACCGGTTAGTTATAATCTAAAATGAGATTTTCTTTTCTTTTTGAGAGACTCTTGGGGAATCTCGCATGCCATTAACAACATGGCGCACCGAGGCAAGAGAGTAAATAAACAAACAGCCGATGGGGGGAAGCAAGCCTTATGGGGTGGAGAGACAAAATAGAAGCGCCCAGAGATTGGACGCTAACAGGCGACGGTCCGCGCCACAGCAAAACAGTCTCCGCATTCATACCCATAATGCTCCGTCTTGCTGGGCTGAGGAAGAACCACGAAATAATAATGTATAGGTTTACGCATTTCACCGCATACAGCCGCATTCTTTGACAGAAGGGGCAAAACGAATAAGATAAACAGGCCCGGAGGGTGGGGGGATGCAGGCGGTGAAAGAGAGAAAATGTGAAATCAATCAGCAGCCAAATGCGACGCAAAAATTACCTGCATTTAGAGAGCTTTGTTGACACTGTCGAGCGAGCGGTGAGGCAAAATAAACAGGAGGCACCGGCTAGGACGGGGGCTGGGGGCCTTCTTGAGCTCACTCCACCACAAAAAATAGGTTGGCCGTTCGAGAGAGGAGATGAGGCTGAGGCAAGAGAAAAGAGGAAAGTTGTGGATTTCAGAGATGAGAGGCAATGGCAGCAACATGGAAACGGGGAAAGAAAAAACATTTTTTTAAAGAAAAGAAAAGAAAATTAAAGGTTTTGTGAGAGGGGGGGGGGGAACGGTACGAATTTCAACAGTGTTGAAAAAGGTAGAAAAATCGCTTTTCACAAATTTCTCTTTAAACCCTGCCTGGGGTTAAGCAAGGACATTCTTAAAATATTTCAACTGACAGCGAGAGGAAGGCATACCCTGGAAGAACGTTTCCTCTTGTGGTAGACAGATTTGTGCCTTAGGGGGAAGGCGTGAGTTGTTATTGGAGAAATTAGCACCAGGACAGAAAGGACATGAGCTCTCCGGGGGATGCGGCGGGAAACAACAAGCCAGCGAGAACAGGGGGTCACCTGGGGACATTGAAGGGGAGTGCTGCAGGCAGCCGCAGTCTTAGGATATCAATTGATTAGACATACTTGACTCAACGTGCCGGCGATCTGTGGAGTGTGTCCCAGTTGGGAACATTTCTGAGAAAAAATAATAGTATAGTTTGAAATACAAGGACAATAATATGATATGTTGGGGTTTTTTTTTACTATTTGAGTACATAAATAATAGGCGAAGTACGACGGCTGATGGCTGTTTCAGACTTTACACGTCCAGAAGAATGTTGAAATTGCAAAAATCTGGTAGGAAAGTAAGCCTACGGCCTTATCACTTGTTCTTGTTTTGCTTTATTTTATTACTATTTATTTTTTGGTTCGTTTTCAAAAATCTTGCATGGAACACTCATCACAGAATAGAGGTGTGGCGTCAGTGGTGCACTTGTTATATTAGGCTCTTCGTCGTAGCACACAAAAGAGGCGAGTACGATTCCCTTGAGGGACAATCGATGCGTCCCGTGTTGAAAAGGTCGAAACAGCCCATCCCTAAGTGATTTAAATTTTAACTGTGTGTATGGGGACGTAGAGACAGAATTTACCATGTAAGTTGTTACTGGGATAAGAAAGCAAGACGACAGACAGGAAACAACACAAGGGCACGGTAGTTTTCTTTTAAATTTAGTCCAAACATATTATATACCAGTGGCCCCCTCCAAGAGCGGGAAGTAAAGGAGTTTCATTTATTAACGATTGAAAATTGTAGAACAAAACGCCCACAACAGCAAGAGAAGGCATGTAATGCGCCAATAAACAGGAAGTAGAACGTCAAAAATGTTCCAGGAAAGCTTTGGAAATGCTTGCGTTACACTGGCAGGCGGTAAATGAATCTTATTTTTTTTACAAAATTATAAAGTAGACCACTTAGCCGTGACTTTCGACCCGTTCATTTCAGTACAGACAAGTCAGTTGCCTAAAGTTAGCTGACTTCACATTATACTATAAATTGACAGGATAGTCCAAAGTCCATTGCAAGGACAGAAAATTGCTGTAAAAGACCCGATTAAATGAAGCACGTAAAGGACGAAATGTCCGACCCCTGAGTGCTAAGAAAGAGAAAGACAAGAGGATAAGCTGAAGCTGAGACACACACAAAACCAAAAAAATCAAAATAAAACCGTCCCATGTACTGAGCCAGAGATACATGGTATAATACTATCGAGGGCCGTGGAACATTTTGGTGCACTCTCATTCTCAAGCGATCACGGAGAGTAAAGTGCAGTCGGCAGTCTAATGCTCTGAGCATTTCAGTTTCAGTTCGAGCAAAGAGAAGCACATTATAAAGGTATCGTTTTGTAATTTTTTCCAGTTTATGCAATTTATGAACAATCTGTTTGTTTGGTTTTTCTTTTTTTTTCTTTTTAAGCTCATGAAAGAGTAAACGTGCCCCCCCCCCCCCCCTCCCGGGCAATGCTACAGACCGAAGTGTTTTTATGTCATTCCCAAAGGGGAGATATTAACATGTTCTTATGAACAGTAAAATTGTAAAAAGGCTGATTTATAAATGCCATGCTCTAACTGTGCCAAACAACATAGGAGGAACTGCTGGGTTTTTTTTAATCTCATCCTTACTATTGTCATTTTTCCTCTACTTCTTTTGTATGTTTGTCACTCTCTTGTGAACTGCTATTTCCGGGGTGCATTGGTAGTCGAAGCAGACTTTGTGCTGTCGACACTAGAGAGGAGAGCAGAGTAAGCCTGATTCACCGTTTGGACTTCTCTGTTGACATCCACCCCTTGGCGCTCATATGACATTATAATGCAGTTGAGAGCGCCGTAAAACCTTCCAAAAGTAACTAAACTAAGACAAAGAGTTAACGTTCTGACGAAAAACCTAAGTGTTATCCTTAACAAGCGGTGATTCTACACAAAATGTTTGGCTTCTTTTTTTAGCGTGTTTCTGAGTGCATCTACAGTCCGGTCAAAAATTCGTGGCGCAACTTATCCTCAAATATCTCTTCTACAGGAGAACCAGTGTCACCCATACTTTGCACAGCAGTTTGTACCAATTTGTCTTAACTTAATCATATATTTCCACATCAATTGGGGCTAGATTAAACAACTTTTCTTCATAAACGTATATAAAATAGTAGAACTCGCAGAAAATGGGATTGTTCTTAGCACTTTCCGCTTCTCACATACATTTTGAAGACGCATGTGGCTTACATCATAGCTCTTCAATGGCACTTTTTAGGGGTAAAACGTGGTACCAAAAATTGATTTTATAGTGAACACATTTTTGGTATTACTAAAGGTTCTCAAAACATGCGCTCAGTACGCATAATGTCACGATTAGAAAAAAAAACTGAGGGACCTGCTTTTAAAAGCGATATTGCCCCAGCTGTAAACCTTTCAAAATCTATAGAAACCACCCACTTGGATTTTTTATTACATGTTTTATTTATTAAGGAATTTTCTAGAATACAGCTATTGATCTGTTGAGACAAATTGATACAAGTCGTTGTGCAAAAAAAAGAGTCTATGTTCGACAGTTGAGGAGATATTTGACAATAAGTTGCGCCATGAATTTTTGACCACACTAAAGGGTCTGCTGGGATAATATTAAATAATATATGTAGTTGTAAAGCACATAAAGCATGCTGTAGAGCGTGGATATGCGCTATATAAAAGTAGAGACAAGCACATCGACACAATAATGGTCACTTAGTGCTGGGAAAAAAAAAAGACAGATCGAGAGAAACAACGAAGGGAAAGTAAAAAATAGTAGGACCAACCAGATGCACCCTCCAAAGACCCATAAAGCAACATATATCTCGTATAAAGAAAAATAATGGCTTGTGAAAATTCAACAACCAATTATGCACGTCAAAGTAAATGGTAATATCAAAGTTACAGCCCAGCCCCCCCCCCTCTCTAATCCCAAACAAAAATGTTTTTTAAAACAGCTGAAAGGAAGAGTTCCCACAAAGGGAAGAAAACTCCGATCTCTCTTAGATGTGAATCTTTATCTTTCACCTCCACAGTGTTGATCGTGTTTCGAGCCAACAGCCCCACAGCAACCAGTTAAGTATTATACAAAACTGTCTTGAGTACATGCAGGCCTATATGAGTTCACAAGACAACAGTCACATATCATGGAACAGCCAAATGCAATCCAATAAATAAAGTATACTTTATTAGGAAACGTTCTCTGTTGCAACCAATAACTAGTATGATACAAAGGAAAAGGAAAATAAGCAAAACAGTTCTAAAAACTTCACCTTAACTTACACAAACAAACTCATACTACAAGTACACACTGATAACCCGTTCAACAGAGAAAAACTTAATTGGAAAAACTTTTATGAAAGAAATAAAACTGCGAATGATAATATTGCAAGTAGACAATTTTCATTCTATTCTGAAACACACACATACACACACACACACACACACACACATATACACATACATACACACACATATATACATACATACACACACACACACACACACACACATCAACATACACAGACTTCAGCTTTATTAACATTGTCATATCACATGTCATGATGAAGAAATCTTGCAAACAAGACATCACCAACTAAATCAAAGAAATTAAATGGAGCAGAAAAACAGGAAAGAAACAAAACAAAACCAGGGAGAAAAAAAATGTTCAAGCATGCAGTCTCAAGAAAGTGAACAAACAAATATTAGAAAAAAGAAAATGAAAAAAAAAAATGAAAGCTGTTCCAACTGGACTAATCAACTAAACAAACAAGTATGACAACAGTATGAAACTGTTATCAGACTTACAGAAATTAGTCAGCCAGCATAACATTTTGATGACATGTCTCGTTATCACATTTAATTGAGTTCCACAAATAAAACAACAGAAAGGACAAAAAGCCATAAAAGCAGTTGCAGGCAATCTTGACCCAATCAATTATTATACACAAAAAGTGGAATTATTTGATCTACGATGGGGATTTCATAAACAAATAACCGTGGGGAGCACAACTGTAAAGAAAACAAAGAAAGCAACAACGCTGTCCTAATACGATACAAGGCAATGTGTCATTCTCGTACAGCCCCCAGGAAGAAAATGGCACAATACGGTGATACCTGAACTAGACTTCTCTAGATGAAAGATGTCTTAAAATGGTACATGTCATACTCATACAGCCTCCTGGTAAAAACCAGTACAATATGGTCATACCTGAACTTGACTTCTCTAGATGAAAGATTCTATGACTGAAATCAACAGGCATCTGGTATGGCACTGTACTGAATGGGGGTTTTTTTTCAAAGAAACGGCGTTCAGCCTGATTTTGAGATAAATCCACATTTACAAGGGGAAAAAAAGAGGAATCATTAAGCTTTCAAGCCCACCACAAATTTCCTTTCAAACAACATAACTGATTCGACGCTACAAAACAGCTCCATACACGTTGGAATTAATTTTGGCCAAAAACCAAATACACCTAGGAAACATAACCATTCCTCGCTAAGTCAATTCTATTCTTCTTGTTGCTTCCTACATTTAATTCATACTCTCCTTTTATCCCCACTGTACTGCGATCCTTGAATTTCCTTGTTCATCAATTTTCATAGAGCAGAAAATGTAAGAATTATTATTCCCTCACCAACACAAGAGAAAGAACTTCAAACAGAAAGGAATGTTTACAGTACAGACAGGTGATATGGTATAAAAACCCAAATAAAATAACACATCAGTCATGGGTAGAAAGAGAAGACTGAAATTGTTCCAAATAATGTAGAAAATATTTATGCGTAAATCCAGTTAAAAAGCACGGTACAAAAACAGAAGAAAGTTTTCTCACGACACTGAAATCTTAAAACTAAGAAGACAAAACTTTCACATCAATTCACTATAAGTGATTAAAAAAACTTTAAATGTACTTCCTAGACAATTGACTTAGATCTCATTACTAATAAAAAATGAGCAAAAGAGTATTTTACATGAAACATTGGTAAACTGAAAAGTCCTACCTCAAAAATATGCAATGAAAATTTACCTGAACCAAAATATTTCGCTTCATGACAAAAAGAGTATACAAGTACTTGACATTTACCTTTTCATTCATCAGTTTCATGATAAAACATTATGTAGCAGCTACCTGTAAAGAGGCACTCAGTTTTATGCAGCTTGAATAGACAGCCATTACTATCCCAGCTAATGAGCAGAACATACATGTATAACAATGAATTATATATTTTAGAACTGGAATATAAAAGCAAGTAATGAGTTTCCTTTTAACCACAAAGTAACTAAAAGCACTGATGGATTATCTTTATGTACAAAGTGTACTGTCACCCATCAAATACAGACATTATAGTAAGAGAAGGGATAGAAAGTCAAACAATTCACAACCATCACATTACTTTTAGAATGTGCAGTCAATGTAGCCTCATGAGAAACTCCTCTCTTATAGCGCTGTCCATGTTCTATAGTAAATAACAAATAGAGACTATCAAAGAATGGCTGCAATTGCCTACATCCAAGCTTTGGCCTGCATCATACCAATTCAAAATTACCACTTTTTCATAGAATCTAGCGCTGTAATCTTGTTGTAGTTAAGACATTGCTTGAACTGAGAGTTATACTTTTATACACACAAAAATCAGAGTGCTTTTACTAGTTATAGAAGACAACAATATCATTATGCTTTTAGAAGCAAAGAAGTGAAACTGCCCTGAATTTCCATGACTTAAACCAAAAAAACACATATCATTTGAAAAGCTCCAGATGCTCAAAAATATTTTTCAATGTTGCTATTAAAAACAAAACTTGATTTTGAGCATATGCATGGGAGTCTGAACCTTCTAGAATACAGTAATCTGCACTTTACATACGTGTCACGACGCGGGGGAATCAGGCTCTCGTCAATTTTCGGGTACATGGAGTTATTGGTATCATCTGAAAGCTTGCTTATTAGCCTTGCTTTCACTGAAAAAAATACCCATCTATCTTAAAGAGACGTCCAGATATTTGCAATTGAAGGAGATGAGGTCACCTGATTTCAGTGGTAAGATTAGCAAGATAACGGCCGCCAAAGTTTGATAATTTCAACAGCTTGAGAATCCGTGAAAACGATGATATTTCATATTTTGTGCCTTTAATCGACGTTTTTCAGTCAAGTTAAATTAACAAGGAAATGAGTTTTTATATGGACATGAAAGGAGTTAAGCCGAAAAACAAAAATTCAATAAATATTGCCAAACTGGCTGAAAAATGCCTGTTTCTTCGATTTCGTTATTTTGACGAGCGCCAGATTTCACAACGATGCCTCACATATTGCATTACATGAGAAATATTACAGACATGAATGCAGCAACATCAGTATGAAAGTTGTTTCTTCGAGTACTGAGATACGTTTTTGTCCACAGAATATTTCTGAAATCGCAAATGTTCGTCAAAATTTTAGAAATAGGGCAGTAGTATTTATAAGCAGGAAAACACAACATGATAGTGATGGGAAGCACAGAAAAGGTATGTGATCATCTGATAGTCTAACAATGGTACATAATTATATATCACCTTCATTTAAAAAAAATAATGGTTCGAGCAATCTCCTTCTAACTCACTTAAAATGGCAGTGTTAGCTTCAGGGGAAACACGAAGCAACACACCCCCCTCCCCCTTGTCTATTTTTTATGTCTTCCTCTCTCCCTCACTTTCACTCACTAAAGTAGACATAAAGTTCCGGTACACATATCATAAGGCTTTACATAAATGTCATAACACACACACATACACACACACACATACTCATATATATATATATATATATACATTCAACACTCAGGTAAAATATACATTCACTAACATACAGTGATATACGCTATTATAAAAAATCCTCAGACACAAACTTGCTAACCTTTCTCAGAGTGCACTGTACCTGTACATCACTAATATTGCTCATGCAGCCCTAATGTATACAAACAAGAATGAACTTCCTGTCTGCACTTGAAGCCCTTAGTTTCAGCAACCACAGACCAGATGCCCACATGTAAATAATACGTATGCCAATGGCACTTTCTCTGAAATGATAAAGGATACTAACACTAAACCCAGAAGTATTAACTTCCACATTTTAAAAAACCCATTTGACCAAAGGGGTAAAGGTTTACTTGAAGTTTCCGTTCCCAGCTTACTTGACCTTATACGCACATCCGGGATCTAGATTCTCTGTAGAGCTAACTTGGGAGTAGCCATAATGTCAAGCGCAAAAGATGATTAGAACTTACTTCAGAAAGGAAGACTTGAAGTATATCTTTATCCCCAAAGGCATAAGTCCAGAGGTACACATTTCAATGCACACACCCACAGAAATGAATCACAGTACCAACTATTGCACTCATCTCAGGAGAAAGTAGCATGGAAACAGATTATATGAAGAGTACCAGACACTATTAAAAACGCATTGAAGAGAAATTTCACCTTCAAAACTTTGAGAGTAGTTCCTCAAAAAAAGGCAACTCATATTATGTTGTTTGTAGTACAATTCCCATAACATCAGCAGAACTACACAGAAAACTCTCCAATTCCTTATCCAGTTATTTTCCTTCCTCAAGCAGTGTTGTCACTATCGCTACAAATGCCATAACACCAGTTCAAATTGCGAGTTACAACAATGTCCGTCAACATGAGGTCTTCAAAAACAACTGTGATCCATTATGAAAAATCATGTTCCCCATCGTAATACAAATGTACTTACTTCCTTCCTTCCAAAAACCGATGCAGTGATCAAAGACATAGTAAAACTTCTGTCCCAGTGAAAATCAAAGCTACAATTGACTTGGTCTCCTTGTACGAATAATATAGGAGAGACAGCTTCCCCAGCAGCAAATTTAAATGACGTACAGAGACTGATAGCAGTCATCTCAGATTTTCTGTCGCTTAGAAAAATGTCATTCAGGAAAAATAACATTGGAGTATCAGTCAGCAGAAAGTTTTTGTGCCATATACTCGAGATTCGAGAGCAACAGCGTCATGGAGAATACAGCATTGGACACGTGGAACCACACATGTGGAACAGGAAAGAAGTGTATGGTGACTTTTCCAAAGGGACTAATTATGAAAAAAGAAATTGGAGAGAGGCATCAGACATTTGTAGAGACAAAAATCAAATTAAAATGAAAAAGATTTTTACCAAAAAGAACGCCCCTTTACCCTTTCAATCAATACAGCAAAAAGCCCATATCAGTTGTCAGAAAAAAATTCAATTCTGATCTTGTGCATTTTCTACTCTCAGCAAGCCTATTGGAACAAACTGTAAATGTTGAAATGGTTCACCAAGTATCATGAACTGTAAAACAAATAAATTCACAAGCATTTTTAGCTGTCTCAAGTAGTTACTACATCACCATCAATATCCAATTACAATAAGTTAACTTTTGGAAAAAGTAAACGATAGGAACAAAATATTATATATATAGAAAATCATTTCAAAGACTCTTTTGCATTCTAACACACCAGAACTCATTCAATTTGGAGCTTTATTGACAAGTGCCTTTGCATAGCTGGAAAACAAGTTGGAAAATAAGACAACTATAATAGTTGCACTTTCATACATATATGTAACTGAAATGAGAAGAGAATCAGACTACAACCTTCAGTGATCTCATCTCACTTTGTGGTACATGGACCAGTGAAGAGTGTTCAAAGCAGTTGACTTTAGCTCATTTCAGCACTTGAGATGGAAGAAGTGTACAAAAATGTGCAACTTGCAGACAAACTACAAAGCAGGAAGGAACTGAAAGCTTTCTTAGCCCTTCAATACTCTAGAACTTTTCCAAATTTAAAAAGTGCTTTTCATCCTGCAGCCGCCAGCTCTAACAGAACATCAAAATAAATCAATAAATAACAGAACACTAATCACCATAAGAAAGCATTTGGTGCTTATATATCCATCAACCCTAGATTCCTTTTCAATGTGAATAATATCTCTCAGAGATTAACCCACAATACTAAAAGACCATAACGACAGATCAGTGTATAACACAACAATTGTCACCCTGTTGCTTATTTTCTAATCATCCCCTAGTTTCTTTCAAAATACCAAAAGCATACTTTGGAGAGTAAATTCAGAAAAGAACAAAATGTTATGAAGGAATAATAAATTACATTATGATTATCACCTACAGAAATATCTTCAATGTTCACTTGTTATAAATGAGGAAATCTCGTAGACTTGTCCACTTGTCGCTGTCCTTGTAAATGTAGGTCATGGACGAGACCAGCGACGGCTGAAGGCACGACTTCTCATACTCAAAGAGCCAGAGGGTGGCTCCCCACAAGATGGCAGCAAACCACGGGAACAAGTCGGCCTTAGGCTGTGGAACAATGCCCTTAGAGACCAGGAGCTTAGCCACACCATAGACCACCCGCGACAGCAAATACAAGTTCATCTGGAGACGAAAAAAAAAGAAAAACAATGCACACGAAATGAGCTCAATTGTTGACAGAGCGAAAAGCAGATGGACACAGTAATGGGGATTGAGGGCTGAGGAAAGCATGTCAGAAGGACTTCTAAAAGGGGGTGGAAAGGAGAAAAGCACCGTAGAAAAAAAAGCAATAAAAGTAAAAGAGGATAATTCTATATCTGACAAACAGAGTCTGAAACTAGTTTTTCTTTTTCCTTTTGTATAAATAAATATAAAATATAAATAACACTTTTTATTTGTCCCGAAAGGGCACTTTGTTTTACAATAGCAAACATACATTTACATACATAAATACATAATCATGAATACGCACATACATAAATACACGCAGAAATACACACATGAATACACAATACTACACAAATACAAAATAGTTTACAAACATGCCAATGTCAGTCGCCACTGTGCAGCGCCCTGTATTTTGAGCTAGGATTGTCGTGTCTTGCTCAAGGACACACCCCAGTGACCACCCACCTGATCCCTGTGTCACCGACACTTGCTTGATATTACTTGAGTCGAAACTCACTACTCACTTAGCCACAGGGGCCCCCACTACTACCAATATTTACTCCTCTCCACCACTCCCTCCTCAATCCCAACGTTTAAAAAAAAGGAAAATAAGAACACTATGTGCTCCAGGGGAAACAACTGCAAAAATGCAAATATACATATATATACATATATTATTCATGGGTTATGCCCCTTAGCATGTTGTTTTCCCACGGTGCACCAAGGACAGGGTTCAAAATCGAATACTGAATAATTATGTTATTTTCAGATAACTTCCATTGATCTCAGTTAATGATGATACATAACAAGATAGTCCACTCAGCCTAAAGAGTGTCCGCCGGAGGTCCGCACAAAGGCTCAGATGGCGCTGCAGTGCAGCTGTTTTGAAGCTCTCTTTCGTTTCTCCAGAAGAAGAATAGGAATAGCACCTCCTTGGGAGCGTAAATCAACTGCTGTTCCTCAGCTGTTCGGGTTCATTCAGTGCGGAGTTTCAGGTTTTTAAAAATTTTAATGACCTCTCGCCTCTCATTCTTAAGTCAAATTAAATGAAGAAAACAGTCGCCTCTTCCCGTTTTTTGCCAGCGTAACCATTTTAAAAAAGCGTTCTTCCGAAATTTGAATTCTTATTTATTCCAAAACTTGTGGGGTAACTGTTCATAGAGGGTGCGCATTTGCGAAGAGGGCGCCACCGAATTTAGAGGACACTTTTTTAATTGGCTCAAAGAGAGGAGTGGACCATCTTGTTATGTATCATCATTGTCTCAGTCAGATCGGTCAGTGGCTTTAAACTCAGCAGCCCTCACTGGGTTTGCCCCTCTGTCAACTTTACAGAGAATGGAAAGTATAATGACTTTCCTCCTATAGTTTTAGGTTTGGTTCCCATTCCCCTCATATTCTGCTTTTTTCTTTGTTCCCAGATACAAGAATCTCAGGAAGAGTACTATACCCAGTGTTTTCAATAATTTAAAAAATTAAATAAACAGCATTTGTATATTGCATATTCTTGCTCAACAACAAACTATGCATTTTGCAACAACTATCCCACAATATTCCACACAGCATGAGTGATTTGTTCTTTGGGGGTTTTTTGAGTAAAGAGAAGCATTTAAGGGTCATTTAGTGCAGGAAAAAAGTAAGACGAACAGACAGAAACAGTATAGAGAATGTAAAGACGAAGGACCTACCAGTGGCGCCCTCCAGCCATCCACAGCCTGGGTGGGACCTGATAGGCAGGGTCAATGCAGGCAATAAACCGAAATTGTGTCATAGGAAAGTGTGAGAAACAGTAAAGAATTACAAATGTTTTGGCACTATGACTCACTTGCTCATTGACTTTGTTGTACTTTCCAAAGATGACAAATCCAGCGCAGAAGGCAGAGAGGAAGGCATGAAGCTGGTGGGACTTGGATTCGCCCCATGATAAGGTGGATGTCAACCCTTTGTAGGCAAACACAAATATGGCCAAGTTCCTAGAGTGTGTGTAGGTGGCTTCCAGGATAGCTCGTATCTTGTCTTTTAAACTGTATCGAATGGACAAAGAATTATTCTTCAAAAACTATCTCATGGGAAAGTCTGCACTTTTTTTCTAGATCAAGAAAATAAGCACCGAAATAGACCAAACTGAAGCCAATTTAAGAGCAGAGCACTTGGTCCCCTATCAGGACAGTGATTTGACAGAAAAGTATTCCAGGAGGAGCAGGGGGGAAAAAGGACAAAACATTAATCAGATTTCAGAACCTTTCTTTAAATTTATGGGTAAACTGTTCTTTAAATTTATGGGTAAACTGTTCTTTAAATTTATGGGTAAACTGTTCTTTAAATTTATGGGTAAACTGTTCTTTAAATTTATGGGTAAAAAGGACAAAAAAAGCACATAAATAAACCTAATCCTTAAGACCTTTAATCATTTTTTAAAATAAACTTTGTCTCTTTTAATGAATATATGTCATGATTTAAAGAAACCTTAGTCAACAATACCTACATAATAAATGAGCTGATTATCATAAAACAAAATTGAAGAAACTATGGTCTAACTATTATAGAAATGTTTCACTTTTCTAAAAGGCACCTCTTAGCCCCATTTGAAATTTGATATAATGATACAATACCAGAGGCCTAGAAGTAAGAAATCTAAAGAACAGAACAGTGATAAATTATAGTATGTTATCATGAACTCTTTCAGAACCTTTGTTTTGTTTGTTTTTTTACTTGTTCAGTTCAGTTTAATTATACATTTTCAAAAACAAACAAAAATATTAAAATCTTCTGAAACCAGCAAAAGAAAGATGCATCTTGTGAAATCATTGCAGAATTATGTGTTCTTTTCCAAACTTTTCTTTTAATATTCACATGAATAAACAGACTGACTGACCATTAAAAGTTTGAAAACAGACTAAGCTGAACATTTTCCTCAAAAAACCAAGTACACCATTAAAAATATACTATGCGAAAATGAATAAACACAAACGAAACTTACGGGCCACTCCTGAACAGAAATGTCATCACAAGCGCATGAGGAAAACGGATTTTGGCTCCGTACCTGAAAAACATAATCATATGATTAGACTACAGCAGTTAACTGATTATTGTATACTTAGTTTCTTTTCACAAACTTTTTTCTTTTCCGCACTCTGCCTAGTTCATTTTCACACACATTTTGAGTTTCCCAGATTTTGTAATATTTATGTTGTCTGACATACTATGAAGCAATCTCATTTTTAAGTGCAGTAAAACTCCAATGCCTTACAATGCAGAAAACAATACATTATAGTTATAGTCCAGGAGAGGGGTAGAGATTAGAGACAAACTGCGGCCAGTCTTGCCTCATCTGTCCTGTGCAATGGCTATGCGCAAGGAAAAAATAAGTAGCAACTAATTACATGTACAGCTCCAGCTAAACTTAAAGTAAATTCGAATAGAAAGAAGCTCGGCTGTATGTGACAAGGACCCTGTACACGTGTGTTTTTAATATTTACACCTGATACTCGTCAGTCATTTTAATTTTTACAAAAGTTTTGGCCAAAGCCTTAAAATTATAGCGTCTCATAATCAATGTAATGACATGGTATGACTATGACCCCAACAATTGTCTATGAGCTGCTACATCTTCAAAGCTGATAAACTAATGAAAAAAGGTTCAAAGAGATGGCAGATTATACAACTTTTGCTGGGAAGCTGATCTGAGTAAGTCAGTTCTTCTTTAAGATTTTTATCAGCTAAGGTCTCCGACGGTACCTCTAATACCAGTATGCACAAAGTGCCCAAGGCTAGGACCCCCAAGTCTTTCTTTCTCACCCCAGAAAGAGTCAGTGTTCATCCTCTCGACCCTGAGATCAGATCAGGGTGGCAAAAAAAAAAAAGAAAAGAAAAAAAAGTAAACAACCAATCCTACATGAACAGAAAATAAGTTAGGCTTCTTTAGCCTGAGACCCAAATGGTTCATTCCATTTTTTCTTGTCACCCAACAAGGTACAAACCAGAAGCAAATACAATGAGAACAAAAATCATGCTCAAAAGCAGGAGTCACAAGACTCATGATGGCAATGAAAACAGCACTCATCTATAGTATTTCTTCAGCTTTTCTAATCAAACAAACCATCATTTAACTCGCACTGTCGTCTAGGGAAATTCAGGTTATGGTTATAAAATTGGCACAGGTGTTATCATGATAATGGAACGCCAGTGACCCGACATTGAACTTTGTAGTATCTAATTCAAAATCATTTAGCTTGGGACAGCTGTGCACTTTGTTCAAACTTCAGTGACTACTACATTACATTGCCCTTATCAGACAGCAATTCAGCATCGCTTTTCCTCCTGGCAGTTTATATAAAAAGAGTCAAGAGTCTACTAATTGCTAAAATAAAAAACGAACAACTCTCACTGCAACAGTTGTACTGATTACTTTGCATACACAGTAAAACTATTATTTATTTTATTGACATTTGTCCTTATTGTCCCATATATTGTATTGTAAATGTACTTTAGATACCTAAACTCTGTTGAACAGAGAAAGTTATAGCAAAAATTTCTGCACAGGTACTTAGCTATTAATGAGTTTAAAAATACTTTTAAGTTATTAGGACCCGCGACTTCAAAAGTGAATGTAACAGCAAAATGTACATTTTATTTTACACAGAGTGCAGTAAGCCTGAGGTTTTAGTTTCACTGTATCCAGTTTGAAAGCAAGCTAATCAAAGAAAAGATTGCAATTTCAACCGAAAGCTGTCTACAAAGTGTCAAAAGGATAACAACTTACACCAGCAATTTTTTAAAACCAAACCTTACTTATATATATATACACAAATGAATTATGATTAACTAAAATAAAGACTTTTCAAAATAACCAGAGCCAAATTCGAATCCGACCTTTAAAGCAAGGATAGAATGAAATGCATTGTCTGCCAGTTGTTCAGATGTACTAATTTTAAGCCAAAAATTCTGAAATGTTTACTTTACAAGTTTAGCATGCACATAACAAAATCAGCAGGTACCACAAATCTTTTTTTATGTGTAAATGAATTTCGCTATGTGCGTATTTCAGGTGACAAGGTGAACAGCCACACAGTTGACTTGAAATTACCGCTAAGTCCGCTATGCCATGCAGGCCAAAATTCTATTTACTTGGCTTCATAGTTCAAACTTAAAGCAGATTTGGATTTTTGACATTTTTTATTTTCTACCCATCTCTGCTACGATCAGCCATTTTTTCTTAATGAGAAGCCTTTTCAGCCTTTTACATTCTGTCATGGTCCATTCTCTACTACAACTTCATCTAGACCCAGCTTTGCAGAATGCCCAAATTATTATGTTAGTGTGTAATCTCTATTGAATGTTGAAGAAGTGTTTTTTTTGTTGTATTGGTGTTTTACGCCACTTGCAACTGCATTATAAGGTCATATGAGAGTCAAAGAGAGCATGGAACACATTTGTGAGGCAGCGTGGTGAAATCAGGCGCTTGTCAAAATAATGAAAGTCAAGAAACTGGCATTTTTCTGAAGATTTGGGAAGTTATATCGAAAAACATTGATTAAAAAGGCATGAAAGATGTAAATTTTCAGTTTCCACGGACTCTCAAGCTAAGGAAATAACTCAATTTTGGCAGCCATTTTCTCACTTTCTAATTTTACCTCTGAAACCAGGCCACCACCACCTCCTTCAATCGCCAATATCTTGACTGTCGTACTTAAGGAGGAATTCCGTAACGAGCGACCACTATGAACTAGATGTATAGAGGGTTAGGGTTAAGGCTGGGGTAAAGTCCCTTCTTCATTGTGTCTGGAGGGGTGGTCGCTCTTTACGGCATGGAAGTCTCTCCTTTAAACTCAAGTTAAAGAGTGCTATTGCAACTGCGCACCAACTAAATAGACAACTGCTTCCAACTTTCAGTAGCCTCCTACGCCTTGAGGTGCCTTGACACTTTTGACTCAGAAGGCCAACAAGTCTAGATTTGTAGGACGAGAAGTGGCTTTTCGGACTCAAGTCAGATTAAACAAAAATTATATATACGGATTCTGAATCGAGTCTAGCATGACGTCCGTTCTGACTTCCGACCCTTGTTCCTAAATATTTCAAGCATTTATTAAAAGTTTTCCGATTATAATGATAACATTAGGGGTAGGACCAGAACAACATACTTAGGGAACATAAACAAATGGGTAACAGGAAAAGAGGGAAATGTAGCTTTTTTTTAGAGCATCCGAGCAAAATGGAGAACCATGATCGACGATGTCTGTCGCAGATCTGGCACTGGAAGATGATGATGAATGATAACAATCGAGACGTGTGAGCTTCAATATACAGTTATATCTAAACTGGCCCTCCCTGCATCATTTAATTAGTACAAGCAGAACAACCAAAGTTGAGTTGACCTTGCAGGGGGCAGAGTCAATTATGTAGACTATTGAGATTGCACGTAGCAATCACACACTCTCGGCTTGCTGGGGGAAGAGGTGTTGGGAAGAGGCCAAGGCGGTCGATTTTGTGTGATCTGATTTTTTTTTTTTTTACGCAAATTACAAAAAAACTATAATACGCTGTAACAAAATGAATTTAAACATGTGGAAGGACAAATGATGGCGGAAGTAATGATGATGCTGTAGTGGTGGAGGAAAGACCCTGAGCCTGAGTAGTCGGTTACCGAGTACGTAAACACTGCCACTGGGAAAAGAGAGTGCAGTCTTTTGATTTTTGACACAAATTACACGGTCCTGGTAGGTAATTTTCTAGTTAAATAGCCGTAGCATCTTTGTAGACAACCAAATTAATTTACTTTTGTGTTTTAACATCATTTTTAACTTTGTTTTGGTCAATTTGATCGTCCACACCTAGTCTATAGACAGTATTCAGAAAGAGACAGAGAGAGAGAGAGAGAGGGGAGGTGTAGATCTTGCGAGAACTTCCAGGCAAAACAAAATGGCGACCCGCGTAGTTCGGCTTGATTCGAACAGTGAAATAGCCATAGCATTTTTGATACGATCAAAATCAAATTAGCATTATTAGCTTACTTTTGTGCTATAACAACGTAATTTTTTCTTGGCTTTTATCAATTTGATCATCCGATAGACAGTATTCCAAAATGAGGAAAAGCAGGTCTTGTTTCGCACCGGGTGAGAATAGCCTACGCTGGCAAGTCTCACCCGGGGTGAGAGGTAGATCGTTTTTCTATTCTCACCCCGGATGAGAATAGCCACAGCCACAGGGCATAGATAGATCTAGTATACTAAAACCGGTAATGAATTGGAGCTGTATCTAGATTCTAGATCACTGAAGGGCAGTAAGACAGAAAACAACAGGCACAAAATCAGTGCTCTTTTAAATCAAGACTTACACCGCTCCATTTCGAAAACCTTTTATCACAGAAAGAATGTGCTTGTGTTCCCCTGACGCCAATACAGCGTTCACGGCGTCCAAGATACCCGCCATGTTGTTGTTATCAGGTGATGTGAGGTAATTCTAACTCCGACACATGAGAACTCCTTCGTCCTTTTCGCTGCGGCTACCTGCAAAGAAGTATAAAATCAATTTCAATTAAATTAATTAATCACACTCGCAAACACACGCGCACACACGCACATTCTCTCTCTCTCTCTCTCTCTCTCTCTCTCTCTCTCT